TTCTTCTTCGCCATCTAAATAGTGATATGGTAAATATTAATATTATTAAAAGTCGAATTTATGAATAACTCATACTGTTCTTAATATAATTGAAATTTAGTATTTAGCATGTCTTTCCACAAGTTCTTCCAATGATAAATTAGCATTTGATGTCGGTCTTCAAGAACACTCTCAAGGTACAATTTTCAATTTTTATTAGACAATCATGTTCTGAATATTCAAATTATTTAAAAAAATCTTTAAAACAGTTGAATTCGTTATATTCATTCAATCATTAGATTGATAATATTTAATAGATTGATAAAGTTTAATATATTAAATATATTATATATTATATATTTAATATATTAAATATTAAATTCAAAAATGGTGTTTAAAAAATATAATAATTTCAATTCCAAGTATATCTGTCCATATATTTATAATTTTTATATTCTGTGCATATTTTATATTGATATACTACAGAATAAGTTTTCTTCTAACAAAAATTTTTTTTTTAAGATTATGCAATTCTTTTTTAAATCATTTTATATTTTAAAACTTTCGTTTGTATTTTACAGGAGAGGCTTGTTGGTGGACTGTACATCCAGCATCCAAACAAAGATCAGAGGGTGAAAAAGTTCGTGTTGGAGATGATCTTATTTTAGTATCTGTAGCAACCGAGAGATATTTAGTATGTATTTATTTATGTATTTATGAATTAAAAAGGAAAGCTATTAATTTTCTTAACCTTTAATCGAAACTGAAGGATAATTATAATTCTATTTCTTATTTATAATATATTATTAATAATAATATTATTATTAATGTCGACAAAATGTTCATTACCAAGATTTGTCTTGACACTATTATTACATTTTTCTTTTAAGTATAATATTAATTTAAAATGTTATGAGAGAATATTTTCTATCGTGGTAATAAATTCATATTACTTCATTTCTAATGTGATTTTAGCATACTACAAAAGAAAACGATTTATCAGTCGTAAATGCTTCGTTTCACGTGACGCATTGGTCAGTTCAGCCGTACGGCACTGGGATAAGTCGTATGAAATACGTTGGTTATGTGTTCGGTGGTGATGTTCTAAGATTTTTTCATGGAGGAGATGAATGTTTGACAATACCATCCACGTGGAATACGGCACCTGGTCAAAAGTAAATATTATTTCGACATACCCTTAAAACGAAATGTACTCAAAGTGTACTTAAAATAAAATTTTAATCACATTTATGTATATCAACTGTAGGTTTTAAATTCATAATTATATAATTTCATGATTATATACTGACGTAGGTGATTAAATATTTAAATACTGTAAAACTAGTTTATAATAATAGAAAAAAATGATGATTTAAACAGATTTTTGAAAAGGCTATTTCATTAATAGATCATTTCTTTTGAATAAATTTTTTTTTAATTTGTATTTTAAAAATTTTTTAGAATAATTTTGTATTACTATAAGTCTTGCTATATATTTTTAAATGAATTTATAGCCAACATTTTATAGAATAAAAGGATTTTTAATCATTTAACTGGGAGATAATTTTTGTGTGTACTAAAAATTTTACAAGTTTTCACAAATAATAAATTTATTTATAAACTTATTGCAACATCATATTTAAACATAGCATTAAAATATAAATATTCTCATTATAATATAAAGACAAAGAAGCTTTATGTATATGTATATATATATATATATATATATATATATATATATATATATATATATATATATATATATTTGTTTTATAGTTTAGAGGATTATAGTTTAGTCATATACGAAGGTGGAAGTGTAATGAGTCAAGCGAGGTCACTTTGGCGTTTAGAGCTCGCAAGAACCAAATGGGCAGGTGGATTTATCAATTGGTTACATCCCATGAGAATAAGACATCTAACAACTGGACGTTACCTCGCTGTGAAGGAGAATAACGAACTATACTTAGTGGATAGGTAATCAATTATATAATTTCAATAATAGTTTTTGTTTAATTTGTTTTCATTTATTCAAAAAAGGATGAATTGTGAGAAACTATATTTACAAATAAATAAATATATGCATATATTTTTTTTCACTATTAACAGAAATATTCTGAAATTATAATGTCTATGTTATTTGTGAATAATAATCATTTTAAACACAACAGTAGATTACATTACTATTTGTAACATTAATTTTATTTTCTTTTATTAAAAAGAAATGAAGCGACGATTGAAACATCAACGTTTTGGTTTCGACAAGAAAAAGATGATCAAAAAATTGTACTAGAAGACAAAGATTTAGAAGTTATTGGATTACCAATCATCAAATATGGAGACTCGACTGTTATTATGCAACATGCCACAACAAATCTTTGGGTTTCGTATAAGGTAAAGATTTCCTTTCTTTTTAAATGATAATACTCAATATATAATACTAATTATTATTCTTTCATGTACATACTATTAATACATCTATCTAGAAACCAAAACTTAAAAAGTTCGAGGTTTCTATAAAGGTATAATTGCATATAATCATAATAGATATGGTTATATTTTACAAATTATGTAATCTTTTTACTAGTATGATTATCACGCTTATGACGCTATCGTAAAATTTGTTATATTATGTATAATACTAAGTATGCATGTATCCTATATATATTTCTAAAATATACTGTAACTTAACACATAGAATATCAGTTGTATTATTTATATTATATATATATATATATATATATATATATAGGCGCGTATGTATGCACAAATGCACGCGCAAAGTATGATTGTTTGCATTTTATTTTATTAGTTAAAAATTTAATAATAAAAAATTAGTTCAATCTTTCACATAAATATTCACATTATCTTCCAATAAACTTCTGTAATATTTATATGGCGATAATAGTACATGCAAATAGAAGGCTGATTTAATATAATAAAATAATAATGTTTTAATGTAACTAATAATTTCGATTTCTTAGTCATATGAGACAAAAAAGAAAGGTGTTGGTAAAGTTGAGGAAAAGCAAGCGGTTCTTCATGAGGAAGGAAAAATGGACGACGGTCTTGATTTTTCACGATCTCAGGAAGAAGAGTCACGAACCGCTAGAGTTATTCGCAAATGTAGTAGTCTCTTTTCACAATTCATCACGTGAGTGTTAAAAACTAATTAGTTTGCTATTTAATAAGTTGAATAAGGTAAAAAATATATTTTAATACAATTTAAATAATTTGACATTTGCAAAAATAACATTATGGAAATATCGATTTCACTTAATTCCTTTTATTTCATATATAATGCTTTAATAATTTTAATTACGGAAATAATGAACGATAAAACATGCAAAATATTCTTAGAAGTTTAGTTTACTTTAGAAGTTAATCAACTTTTATTAGATGTATACTAATATGAAAACGTATCATTTAGCTGTTGAATATTCAATAACTATTGTTGTTCATATAAACAAAATAAATATCTATAATTGTGTTCAACACATATTACACTATTATTGAAATTTATTAAAATAATAATAAGAATTCAGCTGCATTATCTATATTATTATATTAACATAAGCATATTATGCATTAAATTTTTTTTATATTTTAGAGGATTAGAAACACTTCAAATTGATAGACGCGCGTCTATGTTCTTTCAAAATGTAAATCTCAATGAAATGGTAATGTGTTTAGAGGATTTGATAAACTATTTTGCTCAACCAGAAGATGACATGGGTAAATTATAGTATAAATAATTTTTCATTGTAATATATTATTATGAATTTAAGTAGATATAATTTGAATATATATACATATATATATATATATATATATATATATATACATACAGGCTCATATAATTGAGTCTATTCTTTTGGTATAGTTTCAAACTTATTAATTTCTATTTAATTATTTCCAATGATAAATGTAAAGTATTTTATATTAGTTTTTATTTCATTGTGAATCCAGTGTTATTTAATTGAAATTTTATTCTTTGAAATATATTTACATATTATTCAATTTTTTTTCAAATGTTTCAGAACACGAAGAGAAGCAAAATCGCTTTCGTGCTTTACGCAATCGTCAAGATCTATTTCAGGAAGAAGGAATTTTAAATCTAATTCTAGAAGCTATTGATAAAATCAATGTGATTACATCTCAAGGTTTTCTTGTAGCTTTATCCGGTGATGAAAGTGGACAAGCTTGGGACCAAATATCCGGTTATCTCTATCAATTATTAGCTGCAATAATAAAAGGAAATCACACGAATTGTGCACAATTTGCTAATAGTAATAGGCTTAATTGGCTTTTCAGTCGATTAGGATCTCAAGCATCCGGTGAGGGTACGGGAATGCTTGACGTACTTCATTGTGTTCTTATTGATTCACCAGAAGCTCTGAATATGATGAGAGTAAGACTCTAATTTTTATAATAAAGTCGATGTTTTTCATTTTACAGAAAAAAGCAATGTACAAATAGAAATAGAAAAACTAATCATAAATGCATAAAAGCATAAAATTAAAAGATATTTATAATATCGAAATAAAATAATTTATTGTTGCAATACGTAGAGTAAACTCAACTAAAAAATTATTTGATATTTTAAATATAATCGAGAATGAAATCAATTTATTCATAGTAATACAAATTTTAATAAATATTACATTGTGACTTTTGGACATAATTCTTATGACAATTATATATAATTATAATAATTATAAAAAAACATAAAAGCAAAAATATATTAAAAATTATATAGTTTACATTTTTCCCTTTTTTTCTAGATATTAAATAAAAATAAATTAAATTAATGAAAATTGCAATTTCATAATAATATTATATATTATCTTATAGGAAATTTTATAGTAGCAAATTATTAAATAATACATGTAAATTCATATTTAGGATGAACACATTAAAGTTATCATATCGCTATTAGAAAAACATGGAAGGGATCCAAAAGTATTAGATGTACTTTGTTCACTTTGCGTTGGTAATGGTGTTGCTGTGCGTTCATCGCAGAACAATATATGTGATTTTTTATTACCTGGCAAAAATTTATTACTACAAACGCAGTTGGTAGATCATGTTGCTAGTATCAGGCCAAATATATTCGTAGGTAGAGTGGAAGGCTCCTCCCTCTATCAAAAATGGTACTTTGAAGTAACCGTTGATCATATTGAACAAACTACTCACATGATGCCACATCTACGGATTGGATGGGCTAACACGGCTGGGTAAGGGTTGTAATATTATGAAAAATATTTTACTTTAAATATTAACACATAATGCAACATATAATACTTATATCTCCATATTCATTATATTCCGAAATTATGATTTTAAACTAATATTATCCTCCTAAAATTATTATATATAATGTTTCTATAATATTAAAATAATTCGACAGGTATATGCCATATCCAGGTGGAGGGGAAAAATGGGGTGGAAATGGTGTTGGTGACGATTTATACTCTTTTGGTTTTGACGGAGCTTTTCTTTGGACAGGAGGAAGAAGAACTCAAATTATGCAGAACTTGTCTGAACCTTATATACGCAAGGGTGATGTCATAGGTTGTTCACTAGATCTGACGGTTCCAATTATCAATTTCGCTTTCAATGGTGTTCCTTGTACCGGCTGTTTTCGCGGCTTTAATCTTGATGGCATGTTTTTTCCAGCCATCAGCTGTTCCTCGAAATTATCTTGCCGATTTCTATTAGGTGGTGATCATGGAAGACTCAAATATCAGCCACCCGATGAGTTTTCACCACTGGTAGAAAGTCTTTTACCTCAGCAGATTCTGTCACTTGATCCATGCTTCTATTTTGGAAATATGAACAAAGTTGTTCTAGCAGGTCCGTGGCTGATGGAGGATGATACAGCTTTTGTACCTTCGCCAGTCGATACATCGATGATTAATTTACCACCATACGTTGAGCAAGTTCGGGATAAATTATCCGAAAATATCCATGAGATGTGGGCAATGAATAAAATCGACGCTGGTTGGACATACGGCGAAATCAGAGATGACCTCCACAAAATACATCCATGTATCGTTCCTTTTGAAAAACTACCAGCTGCTGAAAAGCGCTACGACACACAATTGGCAGTACAGACTCTGAAAACCATACTTGCACTTGGATATTATATCTCGATGGATAAACCACCATCCAGGATAAAAACGCTTCGATTACCTCAAGATAGATTTACACAAAGCACAGGATATAAACCGGCCCCATTGGATCTCAGTGCGATAACATTGACGCCCAAGATGGAGGAACTTGTAGATCAATTAGCCGAGAATACGCATAATTTATGGGCGAAGGAAAGAATTAGTCAAGATTGGACTTATGGGCTTAATGAAGATTCGGAGATGAGACGAAGCCCACATCTTGTACCTTATGCGAAAGTGGATGAGGCTATTAAGAAGGCTAATAGAGACACAGCAAGTGAAACTGTTAGAACATTGTTAGTTTATGGTTATATGTTAGACCCACCAACTGGAGAGCAACATGAAGGTAAAACTTAATATCAATTATAAATTCAGTGCTTAATACCACCTCCTATGATTATTGATTCTATGATAAATTGATATAATTAGATTAATTAAATAAGATAAAATATTAATTTTTACTATTTAAATTATTAATATTTTTAAAAATTAAAACGAATATAAGTAATGAATGCTAAATCTATATGTAATAAATTACTACATAATCTCTAAACATTATAACTAAATTTTTAACTAAAATAATATTTCTTAATAATATATTAATATTTAAATAAATAGATAACAATAATGTATTTTCTGACTTCTAAACAATATTCTTACTAAATTCTTTACTCACTTATAAACTTATATGTAAGATAAACATTACATTAATTTTGGAGTAACATAAATTATTTTTACTTAGAATAGTTAAAGTAATTTTTACAAAATATTATAGTCTGTTATTGTTTCTTGACAGTATTTATCTACAATTTTAATTTTATATATTAATTTAGTATAAGTTTTAACAACATTACTTATAATAATTATCAATTTGAATTAATAAAAAAAAAACTATCTATAGATGACAATATATTATTGCCTCTATCTAAAAAAAGAGAATACAAAAAAATAATACAAATAAATATTTGCTATTAATTTTCATATTAAATCCTTTATATTTATTTTTATGATTTGGTTAATAAACGTATTGGTTACAAAAACTCTTATTGGTTAGTTATAAAATTAAAATATTTATGTTTTTCTTTTTAGAGATGATGATGAACTTATATAGACGCTTAAATAATATTCAATCTGCTTTTGCAAATAATCGCCTAAATTTAGGTTATTCAGGTATTTTAAATAACAATCAACAACATAAATTAAATAATATATTTACTTCACGATAAAAACGATTTGATTAATAAATTAAAAAATTCATTCATAAAAACTAAAATAATTTCATGACTTTTCATTCGATCAATATCAACATTTGTTAAAAATAAAATTAATAAAATTAATTTTGTTCCAAGTTATTATTAAAAATAACTGTGACAAAATAATGATACAATTGCTTCATTAAATTGGTTTATCTTCTCATCTTAGTTGTGTTACTATTCTTAACTGTTTAAATATCATATTAGTATTGTTTTTTAATAAAAATTTATGTATACATTAAAACAATTTATAGTTCATCTATTATTATTAACAGTAGCCTGATATTATAATATTATAATTTATAATCTATTCACGTTTATCAATAATATTCTACATAATAAGTAATTCCCTGAATTAAATTAATTTCAAATTTTTTACAATTTAGAAGTATTTTATTGCATATAAATATTTTTAGGTCATTTTTTAATATTTTAATATTAATGTAAATTGATTATATTATATTTAACCCAAAAAATTATTAGCATACTTCAATGTTTAGATAAGGTAGCATTAAAATGATTAGGAATTAGTAATTTGCATTATTTAAAAAAATATTTGAGCAAAAAATGTTTGCTTGTTGCAACGTAGTCGTAAATGTAAAAATAAAAATTTTTTATTACAGTAGAAATATTAAAATAAGAAAGTATTAAAATTTTAAAATAATAAAATAAGAGAATTGCTCTCAAATATTTATAATATGATCTATGTTGTATACCCATCATCTTGTGATAAAATAAAAGTTTTTAATAGGAAATACTAAATTACTTTAATCTACAACCTAAAACTAAAATTAAATAGATTCATAGAAATTTAATTTATCATCCAATGTAAAACCTTTTTTAATTTCACCTAGTTATGTCGCGCTCGTTCGTTAAAAAAAAGTATACTATAACTGGATTGAATTTTAACATAAATAAAATCTTAATTTAAATAGCATTGCTACTAGAAGCCAATCGACAGCGGCAATTGCTTTTCCGTACTTATCGAGTGGAAAAACATTATGCAGTTAGCAGTGGAAAATGGTATTTCGAATTTGAAGTGATGACTGCCGGTCCCATGAGAGTCGGATGGGCGAAAGCGGATTGCATGCCTGGAAGTATGTTAGGTAGTGACGAGAATACCTGGGCTTTCGATGGATATAATGTAAGTAAGAATACATTATTTTGAAAACGAATTAATTCACTTACCGTTATTTGCAATATTGATGGTTCGAAGTTATAAAAGAATCACTTTGGATATATTTTTATGTGACATAAATAATATTGGTTTATGTACTTATGTAGGTTCAATTTTATCGATAATAGGTTAGACATATAAAAGTTATATATTTTATTTCTTTTTAGATCACCTGCAATATGAATAATGTCACAACTTTTTGACAAATTATATTTATAACTAAAATACGTCAGTAAATGCTGTTGATACTCAATATAGTAAATCGTATACAAAATATATCTGCAAAATAAATATCTCATGAAAATATAAATGAGTAATCAATGTATCACTTTATTACTTGACAAGTTTGATGTTGATTTAAATGAAAAGATTAAAAATAGTACTTCTTGTTTAAATTTGAAACGAAATAATATAATATTTTCAATCTACATTAGTTTAATTATTCAGGAATTGTAGATTTTAGAATTGATATTGGAAGATAAGAGCCTTTAAAAATAAATATATGTTTCAAATTAAATATCACTCAGGTGTATTTAAAAAATTTTAAATGAAATAATTCAAATTCAATATTTTTTTCGTTAATATACCTTATTATTTAATAGCATCCACAATTTTTCGATTTGTCTATACGTGAAAATGTAAATAAAATGTCTGATGTTCATTCTTTTGTTAATGGTTATTCATTTTTGTTGTACACATTAAAAATCTTAATAATCTGTCTTAATTATTACAATGTAAAATTATTAGTAGCCTTACACTTAACTTCTGTTTGCTATAAATGCGAAATATTTTAAAAATATATAATCTAAAACAAAAGAGTATATAATTGACATGCATGTGTATACATAATTATACATTTAAATATACAATTTATTTATTTATTTATTTGTATCTCTACATATTTTCAGTTCCTTTCTTATTAGATGTAGTAATTATAGGCATAATACTTCTAAAATATATATAATGCAATTTTGTCAAGCTATACTTTTTTTATTATTTAAATTATTAAACTGACGTTGATAAGATTGAAAAAGAAGCAATATATAATTTTTCCTAATATAACGTGAATATATCAGGTAACAAAAGTACATTGCGGTTCCAACGAGTCTTTCGGTCAAAGATTACAAGTGGGGGATGTTGTTGGCTGTTTCATTGACGTCGCAGACAGAACCATCAGTAAGAGCAAAACTCTCTTCCCAAGAATTAACCATATCATAACGACAATCATATTGCATTAAATATAGTTTTTTTCAATGTTCCATTGAAATTTTTGTTTTGTCTCTATATTTTCATTTGCTTCGCCATTATGAATACTTATGATTTTTCCTTACTTGTTTTAAATTAATATTAATTTTTGTTTGTGCATCCTAATTCGATATGTAATTCATATTAAATACGAATCATTGGATGTAATTTATATATTTTACTGATTAAAAATTTGAATGATTTTATCAAAAAGATATATTGCTTATTACAAAAACAGGATTACGAAATATTTTGTAACATTATCTGGGAAGTGTAAGATAAATATTAATTAAAAAAAAAAATTGTATTGCATAATTCTAAAGAAGGCTAATAAATATAAAGTTATTATGTAAAAAAGTATTTAATAGTAAGGTTTGTAAGTATATGTGAATTAAATTTGAACTTGGCCATCCTCGCCTGGATCACTTATGCCGATATTTATCAAAATGAATTAATTAAAAAGTTGATAGAATAGTCTTGTTGATCATAAGCAAAACAGGATTTTCGGTTAAACATAAATTTTAGACATGAGCTTATTGAAATTGTGAACTCTTTTATTTTAAGGAGGAAAAAATGTACTCAGGCACAGCCGAAACTTTCGGCAAACAATGGCAGGTCGGAGATGTTGTTGGCGTTTTCTTGGACTTAATTGATCGAACAATTAGTAAGAAGCAATCTTTAAGTGATAGCTTCAGCCGTTATTTTATGCTACAATTTTATTTCCAAAATTAAAAATAATACAAATATTTTAAAAATCGAACACTGGATATTAAAAAAAATTGTTGCTAGTATTATTTTTGTAACAATGTTATAATAGTATACAAATAAAAGATATGATTTAAAATTTTTTTAATTCAGCTTATTTTAAAGTAAATCTCGAAGGAATTTTTAAAATGTTAGAAAATAAATGAAAATTTCACTTAGATAAATAATCCTATTACAATGTAAATATTCATGCAATCCAACAACGTTCGTTATAAATCTCTAAAAAAGGCATAAAAACTCATGAATTCGAATAATTCTAATTACAATTAATTATCCAGAAAATGTAAATTGGTAAACTATCAGTTTTTTGTTGATCTCCAGTATTCTCCAGTATAACATAGAGTATTATCAAATTAATAAATGACATTTATCATTAGGAAATTCATTTAACTGCAGCTATGCAAAGTAATTATAAAATGATTGAGCTTATCTATTTACTAATTGGCATATATGTATTGAATTTACTTGTATTAAAAATTCTACTTTTATAAGTAAATGTAATTATTATTACTATATAAATTATTATAAATTACTAAGCAACATATTGTTTTGTGTTTATGTATTTCAATGTTTTACGCCCCTCACAGTAATAACATTTTAAAATTTCTATCGAATGTAGTGCTAATAAATAATACTAATTGATTAAAAGCATGTAATATTTTATACTATTCATGAAAATATGACATACAAGCATATATAACATTTATTCTTCATTTAATTATTTTTCCACTAATAAACACAGAATTACCTTTTATATTTCAAACAAAACATGTGGTTTTAATTGATTCTTACCTCACAAAAACGTCATGATATAATATTTTATAATAATATTTATACGAATAAATCTCCGCTTATTTATAATATTTTTACATTTAGAATATGGAACAGAAGTATTGTTTGTGAAAAGTAAAGTGTTATTTTATGAATAGTAGTTGATTTCGTTGATAACTTGCTTGTACATTTTGCTTAAATATTTATTGTCTTTTATTTTTTGTAATTTACAGCAAAAAAAAAAAAAAAAAAAAGAAAGTCCGATAAGTATAAATTGAATATAAATTTTTTAATAATCAATTAATTAATTAGAGTACTATTACAATATTCGAAAATTATTATCATTCATTAAAATTTAATTTTTCAATTATAAATAAATATATTACGTAAATAAATCGGTCTTTCAATTTTCATATTATAAAATATTGAATAATATAATAATATTAATCGATTAAATAGTTTCATAAATTATTATAGGTTTTTCTTTAAATGGAGAATTATTAATGGATGCTCTTGGAGGTGAAACATCTTTTGCAGACGTGCAGGGTGAGTCTTTTGTCCCGGCTTTTACCCTTGGAGTTGGTCAAAAAGCAAAATTAACATTTGGTCAAGATGTCAATACACTAAAATTTTTCACAACTTGTGGACTACAAGAAGGATATGAACCTTTCTGTGTGTAAGTCAATTTTCCATTGTACGTTGTGTCATTAACAAGAGAAATAATATAGATTAATAATATAAATTAATGATTCGCGGTCTTTCCTATTGATCTTTATTTCATTTTAATAAATTAATTCTTTCGAAAAATATTTCATTTCAAACTATTAACGAATTTATTTCTACAGTAACATGAATCGACCAGTAACATTTTGGTACACGAAGTATCAACCCATTTTTGAGAATACAGATGACATGGCAGATACGCGCATCGATGTTGCTCGGATCCCTGCAGGATCAGACTCGCCACCCTGTCTTAAAATTTCCCACAACACTTTCGAAACGATGGAGAAAGCCAATTGGGAATTCCTCCGTCTTTCGCTACCTATTATATGTCAGTCAACATTTATTTCAGAAGGTGATAAAATGCGCAGATGGCAGGAAATAAAAATGCGACAAAATCGATTATATAATGAGCAAATGGAACAACACGTCCATCCATCAGCCCACATAGAGCATATAATGCGATCTGGTTTTAGTATGAGTGATATCAAAGGTATGACGGGTAGGTGTTACAAATATTACTTACATAATTATATACAATGTTATTAGCAAATATATTTTTTTGAGACATTTTTCTTAGCATTAAACATTTCCAATGTTTTACAAAATTTATAGTGTAACAAAAATTTTGCAATAATTTGAAAAACGTATCGAGTAACTTTCGTCACATTATATAATCATCAATGTATCGACTTCTTAAGAATAACATATGATAAAAATTGTATTTTCTAATAATACATAAAATATTCAACTATATTAATAATAATAACAATAATAACCATATACAACAATAATAAAACAATAATAATCAAATACAACATAATATTTTTTATGATCTCCGATTAAAATTATAAAAATTGGAAAATTTTATAATTATTTACGAACAGTTATTTTATATTAAAAATTTATAATTATTGATATTAAAATTCTAACAGACGTAATTCTTGCAAACATTGATAAACATTATTTTAAATCTTGTAAATATTTTTCTTTATTCCAATATTATTTCATCAAGCCCTGATAAAATTAAGTACAAATATATCAATGTTATTTATCCATAAATTAATGCTTTTCTTTCTTAAAAAAAACATCAATTATAATTTAAAAATCAATTTATATTTATAAATTACTAAGAATTTATCTTAGAAATAACTATAAAGATAAATATAAATTATACATTCATTATTATCACACTTACACATTATCTCATACTATTTAAGTTACATATGAATTTTTGTTTTCTTAATCATATGTTCCTATAAGCTATTAACATATGATATTTAATATTTAAATCAAATATTAAGTAAATTACATCTACTATTTTCAACTATTCACTTAACTAGTCACTGTTGCGTGTTTTTATTTCAATCTCAATTTTTAAGGAAACCATCAAGTGTCATAATTCAACCAAATATGATAATTATTTCATTTATAGATTTACAGAGAAATTACGCCGATGACGTTACTGATATAGACGAAATGATGCGTGAATCACCATTACCGATACAACGCAAAAAACCATCGAGACCACCACGACGAGGTTCAATTTCAGGTTCGAGAAACTTTGATGTAGGACATAGCGATGGAGAAATGAATGGTTATGGTGATATAAATGGCGATGCGAAAGATGATAAGAAGAAACGCGGAAGATCTCCTTTTCGGTAAATAGCATTCATTATGAACAATTTTTATTAATAAATTTATTCCAACAATATACGATAAATAATTATATTAAAATGGATCAAATAATGTTAGCAAATTAAAAGGTTAATAGGCTTATTATTAATTATGAATATAAAATATCGTTTTTAGTGCGGAAACGTTAACATACGAAACGTAAATGAACGTAAAAATTTTAGGAACGTAAAAATGGAAACGGAAAAGTTAAAATACTTAACTGAAATTATAATTTGTAAAGCTATTGATACTATGTATTTTATTTAAAACGTTGAAAAATGTATTTCAAATTAAGATAGATCCATTATTTTATTTAATTAACAAAAATTCAAATAAGAAAATTTGGTGTTAATAAATTCAAAATATATTATAAATCTAAAATTATAATTAATAAATAAATCAATTTTTTTAGTTGGAATTATTTATATCGTAAAATTATTATTCATAAGAACCTATGTATGTATTTTAATATATATATTTCCATTTGGTAAATCTTCCTTAAATATACTATATTTTGTAGAATTACATTATGATTTACTTTAATAGAGTGGGGGATAAATTATATAAAAACATATTTCGCTCGTGACTTTACTTATTAAAACACGAAGGTAACAATAAATATTTTTCATTTCTCTCAGACAACGTAGTAAAGAAATGGAAGACGTCATATCTGAGTAAGTGAAAGCCGCACCCTCTACCCATCATTTCTACGATAAATTTTTAATGCCTTCGTTTCATGTACTTCCAATTTACATGTTTTTATTTTTTCTGAATCACAGTTTTAGTAGCTATAAACTTATTATAAATACATCGCCCACATATATTCTATATTATAATCCATATATTTTCGTATTATTTATGTACTTCAGCATATAAACATAACTTTCTATAGAATATTCTAATGCAATAGACATATTCTGGTATAAACATGTAAATCACATGTATATAGTTTCGTATAGCGTAATGCTGAAAATCATTTACGATATATTGACTTCATATCATTGTGTTTCTTTATAATATCTATTACAACGATGTAGCTAAACATTAAAATTATTAATAATGTTTCATTTAATTATAATATAATGTAGGCAATATTAATCTTGCTAATATTTATTTTGAATTAAAAGATATAAAAATAGTTTTCAGTACTTTTTTCTATTAAATTAATTCACTTTTCTGCTATTTTTATTTTTCTTATTTTCATAAATACAATTTATGAGTAATTTATAATAATTGCAAATAGAATTTCTTTTTTTGTTTTTTTTGGTCTTAAAGGCTTCTTAAAGTTTAAGCCGTAAAATTTTGAAGTAATAAATATATAAACATCTTTACATATATTAGCAAGTACATCACTGATATGTTGAATGATCTCTTCACAAGTGATATTATTCTGATACATTATAAGTCTAAAATTTCTAACTAATAATAGCAATAATATATCATACAACTAAAACTTAATGAATATAATTTTTTAATTTTGCAGTTTTTTTTCACGGAAGGTCAAATCATCCGACTCTAAAACTAAAACTCCCGAACCAATGATATATGCAAATACCGAAAGTGAAAGAATAGCCAAACCAACTCCAATTAGCAAAATTGGAATAGGAAGGACCGCAACTATACGTGTATCGACTGTAAGTAAAATTACAATCTATACGAATTATCATGTGTATAATATCAATATAATTCTTAAACAAATTGACAACTTTTACTGCTGCAAATTTATTATATTTAAAATATTTTCTTATATTTTCACACTATTTATATCAAACGAATGATTGACATAGCTTAAAATATACTTTAAAATGATCATAATTTCATATTACTTTGACTATTCATTTAATTGAATTAAATCCTTTCAACAATATTACATATGCTAATGAGATTAAAATTATAGACTGATCTGAAGGTTGTACCCCCACAAATACCAGAACGAAATGCTCCAAAAGCAATGTCGGTTCCATCTGGCACTGGAATCGAGTCCATCGGAAATGAAATTTACGACACCGAATGTTTGAAGCTTATGAATGAATATTTTTATGGAGTAAGAATATTTCCTGGACAAGATCCCACTCATGTTTATGTTGGCTGGGTCACCTCACAATACCACTTACATACGAAGGACTTTAATCTGTCAAAAGTTCGTAAAGCCTCGGTCGTTATAGTTGATGATTATGATCGCCCTGTAGAGCAGTACGTATATTTACATTTCTATCCATAAATAATAAATGAAGTTTTTCTTTTTATAAGTTTAAATATACGCAATTAAATATCACTTCTACTTTTATTTATCTGTCTAAAGTAATACATAAAATATTATATTTTGTATAAAACAAAAAAAAATATTTTCATAAAAAACTCTTATTCGCCACTAAATAATTATAAATATTATATTATAAAATTACTATTGAATAAAAAAGAAATGTTTTTAACAAGGGTTGATCGTCAAAGCTGCTATATGGTTCGCGCTGATGAATTGTATAACGAAGTTACCCAAGATGCATCTGGTAAAGGTGCATCTCAAGGAATGTTCGTGGGTTGCTTTGTAGATACATCAACCGGTTGGGTATCCTTTACTTGTGAAGGGAAAGAAACAAGTCATAAATTCAAAATGGAACCAGATACGAAACTATTTCCAGCTATATTTGTAGAGGCTACCAGTAAGGAGATCCTACAAATAGAGTTGGGCCGAACATCCACGACTTTACCATTGTCAGCAGCAGTTCTTCAGAGCTCCGAGAGACATGTAATTCCTCAATTTCCACCAAGACTAAAAGTACAATGTCTAAAGCCTCATCAATGGGCTAGAGTACCAAATCAATCACTGCAGGTACATGCGTTAAAATTATCAGACATCAGAGGTTGGTCGATGCTTTGTGAAGACGCTGTGTCAATGCTGGCTCTTCACATTCCAGAAGAAGATAGGTGTATCGATATTTTAGAGCTCATAGAGATGGATAAAGTTCTCAGGTTAATTTAATCAATTTCAAATTTATAGTTATAATGAAATTATCAATTCAATGAATTTATAAGAATAAGCAGAGAATGAAAATAGATAATCGATTATAGTTTATTCATTAATATCATTTGTTTTCTTTTTTTTTGTACAGTTTCCATGCACATACGTTAACTTTGTACGCGGCATTATGTTACCAATCAAATTATAGGGCGGCTCATGCTCTTTGCCTTCACGTAGATCAGAAACAATTGCTATATGCAATTCGGGCGGAATATATGTCTGGACCATTAAGACAAGGGTTTTATGATTTGCTCATAGCACTTCATCTTGAATCTCATGCTACTACAATGGAAGTTTGTAAAAATGAATATATCATTCCATTAGGTAAATCATCTTAAAGTTATCATTCATATCAAGTGCTTATTTAATGATTATTTAAAAATTTATTTACTAAACATATTTTCCATATTTCGGTGTAACAAAGATAAAAAGTAATATTGTATTTTTAAAATATATTTTCCTAACTAAATGTAATGATAAAACTATATCATTTACAAAATATATAAAGTATTTTGCTTTATAGTATTGCAATATTAGAGGATATATATTAATAGGATTATTTTTTTTTTATTGTATTTAGGTCAAGAATTAAAAGATTTATATGAAGGTGAAGAAATGCGGCACAGCTTAAGGTATCTTGAAACAGAATCTGTAAGACCACAAATGAAAATGACTGATATCAGGTAAGCTAATTTTTCTCAAAGTAGAACAGAGTCCTTTTCACTAATTAGTCGCCATCAAGGATAATTCATTCTAGTGAAACTCAAAGCATCGACAACATACGTAATCTGTACAGTCCACATTTTCCACTAAGTGTAGTACGGGATTATGTAATGATGGCTTTACACGAAGCTGTTGAAATTAATCAAGTACACAATCGAGATCCGATAGGTGGCAGTAATGAAAATTTATTTCTGTACGTATTGCAAATATTATCATTTATCTATATATATAATATATGTAAAATATATAATATTGTATCGTAAAATTTTTTAGACCCCTGATAAAGTTGGTGGATAGATTATTCTTAGTAGGAATGATAAGAAACGATGATATTAAAAAATTACTCATTATGGTTCACCCAGAAACATGGGATCCTACATTCGATAAAGGTATGGTAGTATATTTATAATTTTATAAATACATTATGCAAAGATTTTTAATTATTTAATTTAATTTAATTTAATTTAGAATGCAAAGATGCACACCGAAAAGGTTTACTACACATGAAAATGGCTGAAGGTGCGAAATTGCAGATGTGTTATTTATTGCATCATCTTAATGATATCCAACTTCGGCATCGGGTTGAATCTATTATCGCTTTCAGTCATGATTTTGTGGGAGATCTTCAAGCGGATCAACTTCGTCGTTATATTGAGATCAAACAATCAGATTTACCATCAGCTCTTGCTGCAAAGAAAACTAGGGAATTTCGATGCCCACCGCGTGAACAGATGAATGCTATACTTAGCTTTAAAAATATGGAAGAAGAAGAAGCTGACAATTGTCCCTGTGGTGATGATTTAATAGTGAAAATGAACGAGTTTCATAATAATCTCATGTCCTATGTCAGTTTACATGCTCTTCAAGAAGCTGAAGATTTTATAAATGACAACGATGCAGACGGAAAAAAACTGGGAGCAATTAAAAAACTCATAAACTTTATTCATCATGTCAAAGAACTAGAAGAAGAGTCAAAACCTCAACTAGAACCGGAAAAAAAAACTCCTGAAGGTACATAATTTTTTTGTATTTTTATATAAATATATATTATATTTTATTACAATTTTATTAAAAGAAGTAAATTGTGTACAGTTAACTACAGAAAGTACTTAAATATAATAATATAATACTTCAAAAAGTACTTTATCCTTAAACAAAATCTTCAAATAAAATTATTTATAATTATTTTCGGTTATAAACATTAAAATGATAAAATTTCAAGTAACTATTTAATTTAAATATTAAAAATTTCTAACGAATTATATAATTTATTTAATTATTATTTTATACATCTTATTTAATCACAAAAAATATGTTTTAGAAATATTTAGAAAAGTTTTAATATCGACAATAGTGAATTGGGCCGAAGAGTCACAAATTGAGACACCAAAATTAGTACGTGAAATGTTTAGCCTTTTAGTACGGCAATATGATACTGTTGGTGAATTAATAAGGGCTTTGGAAAAAACTTACGTCATTAATAATAAGACAAAAGAGGATGTAGCAGAAATGTGGATTGGATTAAGTCAAATCCGTGCCCTATTACCTGTCCAAATGTCACAAGAAGAGGAGGAACTCGTTAGAGAACGACTGTGGAAGCTCGTTAATAATCATACTTTTTTTCAACATCCAGATCTTATTCGCGTGCTTCGCATTCATGAGAATGTCATGGCTATCATGATAAATACTTTAGGCAGACGAGCCCAGGCCCAGTCAGATGCGCAAGCTCAGGCTCAAGCGGTGGAAGGCGGCGAAGCTCTAATGAAAGAAAAAGATACGTCTCATGAAATGGTAGTGGCTTGTTGTAGATTTCTGTGTTACTTTTGTAGAACGTCAAGACAGAATCAGAAAGCTATGTTCGATCATTTCGATTTCCTTTTAGAAAATAGCAATATATTATTATCACGACCGTCGTTGAGAGGATCTACACCACTGGATGTAGCCTATTCCTCTTTGATGGAAAATACCGAACTTGCCCTTGCTCTTAGAGAACATTATTTAGAAAAAATAGCCATTTACTTGTCAAGGTGTGGCTTGCAGTCAAATTCAGAATTAATAGAAAAGGGCTATCCCGACTTAGGATGGGATCCAGTTGAAGGAGAACGTTATTTAGATTTCTTAAGATTTTGTGTTTGGGTTAATGGTAATTATCTATCGACATTTTTTTACTATATAATTTTATTGTATAAACCTTATAATATCCATTGATAAATTTTATTACCATTATGATTAACATTACCATATTATAAATATATATTAATTTATATTTAAATATATTATCTTTTCTCCTTCATATATATAAGATAATGACACGGTTATTAACTAAATATAGTACTTGAAGCTGGAGTATAATAATAGAGAAATTTATTTATTTTTAAGGTGAAAGCGTCGAAGAAAATGCTAATTTGGTTATTAGGCTATTAATTCGTCGACCAGAATGTCTTGGGCCTGCATTGAGAGGAGAAGGTGAAGGATTACTAAGAGCTATTATGGATGCTAATAAAATGTCTGAAAAAATTGCTGATAGGCGAAGGGTAAGTTATTTTTAAAAATTATGCCAATAAAAACAATTTAAATTGATTAAAGTTAAATGAAAGAAAAATGCAGGCGATTAATGCATATGTTGTGCGCGTGATACGCAAGGTATTTAAAGCAATAATTTCATATAAAACTTAACCTTTGTGCGTTCTTAATTAAAAGAAAAGCTTATTATTTGATATTTATTTTGAAATCTTTTAACAATTGAATAGCGAATTTTATATTTACACCAATATTTCAATATATATATATATATATATATGAAATGCGTCTATTCACAGCATGAATAAAATGTATAGTCTCATTACTAAGATTAGAAAATAATATTTTGTATATACATAAAAAATAAATAATACATTAATATGATGATATCGTATTACAAAAAAATATCAATTTACGTAAAGCAAGATAAACTAATTTTTTATTTAGTCCTTTGATTGTTATTGTATTTAATTTAATCTATGTTAGTTTATGCATGAGTTGATTAATGTTACACATTAGCGAGTTATCAACTTATTACTTTAAATAGTTGCACGATGAAGGTGATGATAATATAGTAACTCAATTTGAGCATCCGCTTCCGGAATCTGACGACGATGAGGATTACATTGATACTGGAGCTGCGATTCTGAATTTTTATTGCACCCTTGTAGACTTACTTGGACGATGTGCTCCTGATTCATCAGTTATCGAACAAGGTTTAAATTTTAAAAACAATTATTTGAGCTTAGCGTAATTATAAAAGATTTAAATTATATTCCAGCGTCATAAATTTAACAATGAAAATAAAAAATCTTAAGTCATGTACATTTACTAGTTAAAAAATTTTGTTTAATGATTTATTTTGGTATTGTAGGAAAAAATGAATCTCTACGTGCAAGAGCTATTCTTAGATCATTAGTACCATTAGATGATCTTCAAGGTGTTTTATCTCTTCGATTTACTTTACTTAATCCAGCTGTTGGTGAACCAAGTCCAAAAAGTGATACGCCGTCTGGCTTAATTCCCGGTCATAAGCAGAGTATAGTTCTTTTTTTAGAACGCGTTTATGGTATAGAAACACAAGAGTTATTTTTTAAACTGTTAGAAGAAGCATTTTTACCAGATTTAAGAGCTGCCACAATGCTAGATCGGGTAAGGAAATATTATTACATTAATACAATATCAATTATAAAATAATACAATGTTAAGTGACCATCGTATTAATCGAAATAAAATCATCTTATATTATTTTAAATATTTATATTCTAAATATGTAATTTAACTTAGTTATATTAAATCCAATTAATTTCTAAAGTTTTAGCTTTAATAAGAAATAATGTTGTTCTTTGACTATGAAAATTTTACGAACTACGGTATTTATAAACTATGTTGTATATCCATTAAATGAACTGCTAAATTTTAAGCGCAGTAGTAAGTAAAGAGAATTTATTGCTTTTTAAATATTGCCAATTCCAATTTTTTAATGTCAAACTTTTTAAAATAATTTACCTCCAGTAAATTACGTTTATAAGTCATTAAGAAAATTTTGTTTCCATTTTTGAGTTAAGTTAAAGATTTTCCATTAATTATAATATTACATTGATTATGTTTATTACATACCTTTTCAATAAAAATAGTAATATTTCAAATTTATTTTTAGAATGATGGATATGAATCCGATATGGCACTCGCTATGAATCGTTATATTGGCGTTAGCATTTTACCTTTACTTATTAAACATTCAAAATTTTATAGTGAAGCGGATAATTATGCTAATTTATTAGATGCAACTTTACACACAGTTTATCGCTTAAGCAAAAATCGAATGCTTACTAAAGGGCAACGCGAGGCAGTTTCAGATTTTTTGGTGGCTTTAACTAGGTATTATATTGTAGCTATAAAATAGTCTTATTAATAATAATTTCATATACTAGGAATTTCTATATTTTAGTCAGATGCAGCCAAGCATGTTATTAAAGCTTTTACGAAAACTAACCGTCGATGTTTCCAACTTATCCGAATATACAACAGTAGCTCTACGGGTAAAATTATTTGTATAATAGTACAGTTGATATATTTAATTAAGATATAATTATAAGATTATTGAATAATCGCATTAATTCATAATATTTAAAACCAGCTTTTAACATTACATTACGATCGTTGCGGTAAATATTATGGTTCAACCGGGAGTCAAAGTTTATATGGAGCTTCTAGTGATGAAGAGAAACGTTTGACTATGGTTTTGTTCAGTAATATTTTTGATTCTTTGTCAAAAATGGATTACGAGCCTGAATTATTTGGAAAAGCACTTCCTTGTTTGACGGCTATTGGTTGTGCTTTACCTCCGGATTATTCATTATCTAAAAATTATGATGATGAATGGTACGGAAGTAAATCGGCTTCTACTCAGTCGCCCGATGGACCTTATAATCCTCAACCAATTAATACTTCTAAGTAAGTTATACTAATAGCTGGCAGTAAATTTAAATGATAAATTATATATTTAAGTATAAAAAAATTTAATAATAAAAAATAAAGCTTTGTACATTGGTCAAATATCAAATAGAAAGCATAGGAAAAAACCAATAATTTTTTTTATATAATATTGTATATGGTAAATATTAATAAATTCTATCGATCTTCTTTAATTTAGAGATTTAATTTAAAAAATTCAATTAGTTGTTTAAAATTGTATAACTTTTCAACAATATTCAAATAATTATTTGATACTTATCTTGTAAGAATTTAATAATTATCAAATTTTTTTAGCGTTGTCTTGAATAATGATCTGAATCAAATAGTTCAAAAATTCTCTGAACACTACCACGATGCTTGGGCAAGTCGGAAATTAGAAAACGGCTGGATTCATGGCGAACATTGGTCTGACTCAAATAAAACTCATCCGAGACTAAAACCATATAATATGTTAAATGATTATGAGAGAGAAAGGTATAAAGAGCCAGTGAGAGAAAGTTTAAAGGCACTGCTTGCAATTGGTTGGAGTGTCGAACATGCAGAAGTAGACGTTGCGTCAACAAGTCGTAATTCTCAAAGAAGATCATCCAAGACCTTGGTAAGGTAGCTTATAAGAAAACATAAATTTAATCAGTTTTATTAATTTTCAATTAAAATTTTTTAAAGATTGATTCTGTGAATCCATTTAACTATAATCCTCATCCAGTTGATATGACAAATTTAACATTAAGCAGAGAGATGCAAAATATGGCAGAACGATTGGCTGATAATGCTCATGATATTTGGGCGAAAAAGAAAAAAGAGGAATTATTAACAGTTGGTTAGTATTGTAATTTATTATAAATTTTCGCATAAAATGTTTTTTCTTATTAATAAATATCATTTCATTTTTTATAAAAAGGGGGTGGAATACATCCACAACTGGTACCTTACGACCTATTAACGGACAAAGAAAAAAGAAAAGATCGAGAAAGATCTCAAGAATTTCTAAAATACTTGCAATATCAAGGTTACAAGCTGCATAAGCCAAATCGTAGTGGAGCTGAAACAGAAGTCGCAGCTGCAGGTGCTGCTGTAGAGCTTCGTTTCGCATACTCACTTCTAGAAAAATTAATTGCTTATTTGGACAAAGCAACGATTAATATGAAGCTTTTAAAACCATCTGATACGTATAGTAGAAGAAATAGTTTTAAAACGTCTACAAGAGATATCAAGTTCTTTAGTAAAGTCGTTTTACCGTTAATGGAAAAGTACTTCAGTACGCATAGAAATTACTTCATTGCAGTAGCGACCGCAACTAACAATGTAGGAGCTGCGTCGTTAAAAGAAAAAGAAATGGTAGCTGCATTATTTTGTAAATTAGCGAGTCTTTTGCGGTCAAGGATGGCGGCATTCGGTGCCGATGTCAGAATAACCGTACGTTGCTTGCAAGTTTTAGTAAAAGGCATTGATGCCAAGTCATTGGTAAAAAATTGTCCTGAGTTCATTAGGACATCTATGTTGACATTTTTTAATAACACAGCAGATGATCTGGGACATACGATACTACATCTTCAAGATGGTAAATACAGTCATTTACGAGGAACTCATCTTAAAACTTCAACTTCTCTCTCATATATCAACAGTGTCATTTTACCAGTATTAACAGCTATGTTTGACCATTTAGCTGCTTGTGAATATGGAAGCGATCTTTTATGTAAGTAACATTTATCTTTGTTAGTATAATTTATAATGTGTACGATCACAATTGATGAAAAAAAATATTTAAATAAATATCTGTTCATTTTAACATATTTGATTTAATTTGAACATAATAAAAATATACGAAAATTCAAATAATTAATGAAATACAAAATTTAAAAAAATTTTTATAATATACAAAGTATAAAAATTAATATTATTTTAAATAATAATAAATAACAATTCTCAAAAATATTTTCATCCAAATTACACTATAATGTAAAATTTTTTATATTGAACATAATTCAAACTGTTTTTTTACGATTTTGAGTAAGCCTATATTTCTATAATATGTGTCACAATCTTGATATTCTACACTTGATTCAAGTGAAATTTATAATGAATTATTTAATTAAATAGCTAAAATTTTATTTCAAAATAATTGCAATTTTTGAAAAATAGAATAGTCATTTATACAGTAGCAATATCGTATAAGATTTACGAAATTTTTTCTTTTCTCTATTCTTTTCTTTGTGGCATGATTCTAATTAATTTGTAACTTCCTCATATGTGTTACACGATTTTTAGAATAATGAAATATGATTCAATTACGAAATGCTGAAGCAAATCGAACTATATTTAACTATATTAATTTACATTTAATTAATTGCTATTCATTGCATTACAAATTTAATTTACTATCTTATAGTGGATGAAATTCAAGTTGCGGCATACAAGATGTTAGCATCTTTGTATACATTAGGAATAGACGCAACTCTAACCCATGAACGAAAGTACTTAAAGACTGAAATTGAGCGCAATAAGCCCAATCTTGGCTCATGCCTCGGTGCATTTTCAAGTTGTTTTCCGGTCGCGTACCTCGAACCTCATCTCAATAAACATAATCCATTCTCTCTATTAAATCGTATTGCTGATCATTCGCTCGAAGCTCAAGATATTATGGCACGTATGGAATCGAGTATGCCTACACTTGAAACAATATTAAGTGAAGTTGACCAATTTGTCGAGTCTGAAAAAACATATGCTGATGCTCCTCATGTGGTTGATATTATTTTACCACTTTTATGCTCCTATCTACCTTCCTGGTGGGCTCAAGGACCAGACAACGTTAATCCTAATGAAGGTAAGTAGCGATGCAGCCAAACAATAATTTGCAAAAAATTTACTACAGTTAGATAAAAGTTATGAAACTCTAGTAATCATCGTTTATTTAATTTCTACATGTTCGAAATGCCTTTAAATTTATATGAAGTACTATATGCAAGCACATAATTTTAAATAAATATTTGTATGTAATATCTGAATTAATCGACATTCTTACACTAATACGAGTTATAATAACTTTTTTAATTCTCCACTTAATTTGATTTCTTTTCTTAAATAAAGCTATTAAAATATGAAATACATAATTTTTTTATTAATAAATGAATTATATAACGATAATAATTATAGTTATTCAATATTTATGATAGTTAATAACATGTAATGTATATAAAAATTTTTCTGATTTATTTATTATTAAGCATAATTTAATCATATTTTCATTTATAATTAATTCAAAGCAAAATATTGTTAATGCCCATTGAATGTATTTGTGCTTAAAAGAGTCATTTTCTTACTTTATTATAGAAACATTATATTAAGCTTTATTCTAAAAGAACTACAATTAATTCTGGGACTATCTAAATAAGTACAAGTATTAGTTCCTGAAAGTCAATCAATTAAAACATATTTTTAAATTTTCGACGAATGATAAAATAATTTTATTTTATCTTAAATTTTTAATTAGTCATCCTGCATCTTTAGGCACATACATTAGTATGGTAACAAGTGATCACATGAATCAGTTGTTGAAAAATGTTCTTAAATTGATAAAAAAAAATATTGGAAACGACAATGCACCTTGGATGACAAGAATAGCTGCTTATACTCAGCAAATAATAATAAATTCTTCGGAAGAACTATTGAAAGATCCATTTTTACCATTAGCCGAAAGAGTAAGAAAGCGAACCGATAATATGTTTCATAAAGAAGAATCTATGAGAGGATTCATTAAATCGTCAACTGACGATACTTCACAAGTCGAAGCACAAATTCAAGAAGACTGGCAATTACTTGTTCGCGATATTTATTCTTTTTATCCACTGCTCATTAAGTACGTTGACTTACAACGAAATCATTGGTTAAGAAATAATATTTCCGAAGCCGAGGATCTATATAATCACGTAGCTGCAATTTTTAACATCTGGTCGAAATCACAATATTTTCTGAAAGAAGAACAGAATTTCATATCTGCCAATGAAATCGATAATATGGTATTGATCATGCCAACGGCCACGAGGAGATCTACCGCTGTTACAGATGGTGCAGCCCCTACCGGCGGTGGAAAGGCATAGTATCAATAATATAATTATTTACAATATAAAATATTTATTAATTTGTATTTATTTCATATAATATATTAATACAAAGGTGATAGAATGATATGCGCGCGTGTTATTTGCATGGGCAATAGTTTTGAATCAAGTTTTTGAAAATTAATGGGAGCTTAGTGAAATTTTGATTGATTAAAAATGTCAAAATAAAATTATATTTTACGTATAAAATATAGTTCTCCAGTATTAGCATAAAAATTTAATCTAATGTTAATATTTAAATATACAAGGTCCACTCTATATATTGATTTATACTACTGAATTATATTTTCTTCTCCATATCGAATTCACTATACATTACATGTTTAATTTTTGTTTCTTAATTATAACAGAAAAAAAAGAAGCACAGAGATAAAAAAAGGGACAAGGATAAAGAAGTACAAGCATCTCTTATGGTTGCTTGTTTGAAACGGTTGCTTCCAGTGGGCTTAAATTTATTTGCGGGACGTGAGCAAGAATTGGTGCAGCATTGTAAAGATCGGTTTTTAAAGAAAATGCCAGAACAACAAATTGCAGAGTTTGCAAAAGCACAATTAACTCTTCCTGATAAAATTGATCCAGCGGATGAGATGTCGTGGCAACATTATTTATACTCTAAATTAGGACAGCAGAAAGATATTATAGAATCTGTAAAAGCACCCATAGTTGATGACGTCGTTATAAGGATCACAGAAATGGCGAAAGTACTTTATGGTCTTCATATGGTGAGTCTCTTCGATACTATAATTTCTTATTAATTATAGATTAATCTAAATAGTTGGCACAATAAATTTTCCTATTTATTAAAATAGAATTAAATTGAAAATATCGATGTTTTTATTGAATTTTATTTAAATAAAATAGCTTTATTTCAATCTATAACTGCAATATTTTTCTTAAATTTTTAGCTTTGAATTTTTTTGAGATAAGTATGATGACGATATGATTGGACAATTGTATTCTTATTTCATAATTATTTTCAAGGTTCTAAATCAAAGGTTCTATTCAAATTATTGATTATTTGGTATTGCAAGATAATCGAAAAATAAATTATAAAAATATAAACTACAATACAGAAACTATAAAATTGTAATAAAAATATTTCAATTTATATTCTTGCAAAAATTATGTTTTTGTTATAAAAGCTAGAAAATTATTTTAAAGTTTTTGCTTATATTTATTTTAATAATTTAATTATCAATACTAGGTTACATATTTCATGGAAGCATTTAATTTAAAAATATTAATTGTTGTAAAAATATTTCTAAAAGTATTTTATAATAGATTAATGTGATGAAATGTATTTAGTTTCATTTACAAATTGAGTAAAATTTTAGGAGACATTTATTCCATGATGACGCAGAAATTATGAACTTTCAAGTATGTTTTTTTTTTTTGACAACGACATTTTAATACAATGAAATGATTTCTCTTTTCCTGTGAAGAAACACTTTTTGCACTAAGAATATTATTTTAATAAACATAAATCTTTCGTTATTGACTTATCGTGTGTATATAGCTAGCGCTAAATCTAGAACGAATCAAATTTATGTTTGTATATAATTTATTTAAATAACCTTAAAATTATAAAGATTTGAATAAAAAAACCGAATATTACAATTTTATTCGTACTTTTATAATTTAAAAATGTAATAGAAAAAAAATTTTTTTAATTTTAATCGATTGAAAATCTCGGCAATCTGATTATAGGGAATAAAAAATAACATTACAGAAATATCTTTGTATATATTTAAAATTTTCCGAGCTAAATTTTAGTATACTATCAACAATACCGGAAAAACAAAACGATTTAACGCATAATAATTATATTTCATATGTATTTGATTATTATTTAATTGGACAACCTTGAGTAGATAGATCATCCACAACAACAAAGCAAGAGTAGCTATCGATCAGTGGTTTCTATCCAACGAAAGCGAGCTGTTATCGCTTGCTTCCGTCAAACTTCCCTACATTCCCTGCCCAGGTATCTTACTTTTTCATTTTCATTGCAGTGCACATAATCTGGTATGCTTTTTCTTTTTTTTAGTGATACTAATTCTTATATAGTGATAGTAAACTTATAGTGATACTAAACTTTTTAGAATTTTACATCCCTTTATTAGAAATTCTCTTTTACGCCCGCGTATTGCTGTGTGTGTATATACGCACTAAGTTAATGGCTTTTCCTTTTATGTGTGAAGCTTATCATAGAATTATAATAAAATACATTTATTATAGAATTTGAAATAAAAACGATAAAAATTGTTTATAGAAATGTAAATCTATAAAAGATCAAAAATATTTAAGTAATAAATATTAAAACGAGATATTAAAAGCATAAAAAATTATGTTTTTATAGTATGTTGTGTTAAAAAAGAATAATTATAAATTCAGTAAAACGATCATTGTTCTAACTAATTTATGTGTGTGTATCAAAAGGCAACTAAATCGCTTCCATTTCGCGGTGGGTGGAATCGTATACCGTGTGCTGCAAGAAAACGAGCAGCCATGGCATGCCTTCGTAGTGAACCCCTCTACAAACTTAGGAGGTAACAAAAAAAAATAGTTTTGAGACTAATGCATTGCAATATTATACCTGAAAAATATTAGATTAATTTTTGTAAAAATGTTCTTCTTATGAATGAATCCTATGTATTTGATTCGAGCTAAAATTCTATTATATTTGAGTTTTATAGTCTGTGTACATTATTATTTATTCATGATACTATTTGAATAATTATTATCTAGATAAAAGAATTTTATACAAGTAAAGTTCTTTTTTCTATCATTCATACAAATTAAAGTCATCTGTATATTAAGAATATATAGTAATTGCGAGACACGTTCATGGAAATACATTACTTAGAAGAATTCTAATTTATTATTCAGAAAATAGATATTATCTTATCGATGCAATCATAATTATTTAAATATCAAGAACTTTTACTAATATTTTAGAAATGTTATTTTACATTTATAAACATGTAAATGTATACGATATACATATTCGTAAGTATAATATTAATATTCTTGATGAAGCTGTATCTCCGTAATTTTAATGATTTTGACATTTATATATAAATATATATGTATCTTTATATATATATATATATATATATATATATATATATATATATATATATATATATATATATATATATTTATTTAGTTTTTGTGTAGTAATGTCAAAGCATGCATTAATATGAATCAGAGGAACCAACGATCGAAAACCAAGTTTAATTGAGACTATTTTTATCAGTTATAGAAAATCATCCGTTTAAACAGTTTTTATCGTAATTTTAATCTGATACTAAATTATAGTAAGTTTCATTTTGTTGCATTGGATAAAAATTAACTTTTTAAATGTTTGATATACAATTACTAATGCTTGAAATTTACTGTATTCTCTTATGCAGATAAGTGAAAAATGACTTATTATTGAATAATGTTACTTATTTTTTAAATTTACAATAGTAAGAACGCCCATTAATCTTTGATAAAAATTGTTTTTTATTTTATATAGCCAATCAAACTGATAATATAATTTATTATGCAGTATTGCATAAATTACCCACTGACTGAAGATATTATATCTCAAGTACAGACAGTAAAAAATGTATACTTGTGCTACATTATACAAAGTTCTATTATTTATTAATTATTTATCTAGATTAGTCAATTTTAAAATCAAAGAAATTGTTTGAAGAATCGATATATATATATATATATATATATATATATATATATGTATTAATATTTCGGAATATACTCTACGTAGTGTAAAGTATATATATATATACTTAATATATATATATATATATATATATATATATAATACACGTAAAATTTTACTTATATTTTAATAATATAATAAAAAAAACTCTTTTCTTTTTGTAATTTAGGCATAGGGCAATCAATATTTTTGCGAGAACATATTATGAACTATGGTTACAAGACGAAAATGTAGGACAAGAAATAATGATTGAAGATCTAACAGTAAGAATGATTTTTTCTTTATTCTACATGTAAAAGCAAGTTGATTTAATCTTTTAAGTTATTATTTACAATAAGAACATTCATTTGAAAATTATCAATTATTTAGTGAAAAAAAAATCATCATACATTGGCAATACTATTATGCTAATGAATAAAGAAGATAAAATAGACTAACCGTATTTAACATAATAAAAAAAATTAATAAAATTCGTATAATAATATTAATTCATACTTTTAATAATATTTCTTATTATTTATTACAAAACTAGATAAAATAATTAGAATAAATTGAATGAAAAATAACTGAAAGAGTATTAATCACAAACTTCACTGTTCGAAAATTGAGTATCATCAAAAAATTTACTAATCATATGCATCGTTATATTTTAATTTCATTCAAATATTATTTTTAGAAACTAATTTTAAACAAATGAATTAAGTATAATTTTAAATACTCACATTAATATTTTACAGGTAATTCTACTTTAATATACAAAAATAGAATTAATTCAAAATAGCCGTATAATAATCAAAATTAATTAAATTTAACTTTAAATAATATTTATTCTGACTAATACATTAACCATGTAAGACTTGAAAAATATATGAAATAAATATTAAAATTTAAGATTTATATTTTACATATTATAAATTCCTTGTCTACGTATTTTCTCTGTTTCTGTGCTCAAAATTAAAATAAAATTTATAGCAAACTTTTGAAGATTCCGAATCTAAGAAGATGGATAAAGTTGAGGACGAAGGTAAACCTGATCCATTAACGCAGTTGGTAACAACATTCTGTCGAGGTGCAATGACGGAACGTTCCGGTGCTCTACAAGAGGATTTACTTTACATGAGCTATGCCCAGATTATTTCTAAATCGTGTGGCGAGGAAGAGGAAGAGGGTGATGACGAAGGCGGCGGTAGCGAAGAAGAAGGCGGTGCTTCTATTCATGTAAGTTTAAAATTGAATTACCTTAAATTGATTACTTCAATTTGTTATTACTATTTATTAATCAAAAAGTTTACAACAGCTGAAATATAATTTAACTAATATTAATATTATGCATTAAAAAAGTAAAAAAAATTTTAATATATTAAATTCACATATTAAAGTTTCAGTATTCTTATAATAACACTAATAATTTAATCTAATTTGATTCATTTATTTATTCATTTTACGCTTACTATAATTTAGACACGAATGCAAAAATTCATGGTAAGAAAGTTCTTTATGAAATTAAATAATTATATTGTACATTATATTGTGTTTTATTATATGCTTTCTCTATATCATCCAGTATATTATAACTTCTTAAGTATTTAAACATATTATTTATATTTAATGTAGTCTAATATAATATTATAATGAAATATTACTAAATTCGTTTTCTTTTATTTTCTGCTTTTTGAACATTATATTTTATTGACCTGTGATAAATAATATTAATAATAATGGAAAGCTTATAAAACGACCAGATATTCTAATATTATTTGATATTTGTAGTTAATTTAATAGTCGGAAATCATAGTTTTTATTTTTTTAATACTGTTTATAGTTTTTAATTTGTATTTTACATGTTTTGCTATCAAATTATTTAAATTTTACATTCCATTAGAATAATTTTTCATTATTAACATTATAATGAATAAATTCACACGATTTAATAATAATATGTAAGTTTGAATATATATTTTATTTATAATAACTTTATAATATTTTAAAGTATATTGTCATTAATGATCTTTAATTAATAAATTATTTCATAGAATTTTTGTGTTTATTCTAGTATCTGCAGTTTGTAGCTTAAGTAGAAACCTTACAACCTACTATCAATAAACAAGATTAGTTAAAAAACTTAAGATTAAGTAAATTTATTTATATGTACATATGTATGTATGTATATGTCTCTCTATGTATGTATATGTGTAGGAACAAGAGATTGAGAAGCAAAAGCTTCTATTCAATCAAGCCAGATTAGCGGATAGAGGAGTCGCCGAGATGGTTCTCCTACACATATCGGCTTGCAAAGGTATACCTAGCGAAATGGTAATGAAAACATTACAGCTTGGTATTTCCATTCTTCGTGGTGGTAATATTGACATACAGAAGGGTATGCTCAATCATCTTAAAGAAAAAAAAGATGTCGGCTTCTTTACTTCGATTGCTGGTCTGATGAATAGTTGTAGTGTTTTGGATTTAGACGCTTTCGAGAGGAATACGAAAGCCGAAGGACTGGGCGTTGGTTCTGAAGGAGCTGCTGGCGAAAAAAATATGCACGATGCAGAATTTACTTGTGCCCTATTTCGATTTATTCAATTGACATGCGAAGGCCATAATTTAGGTAAATTATTATAATTTATTACAATGAGATAACTTTAATAAATTGCAAGCATGATTTGTCCCTAATTATCTCGCTAATTCTATAATTTTGAATATATTATTTAATATGAAATAAGTAGTTAAGAATTTTTATTCCTAAGACAATGTTTAGAAATTTAAACTGAAAATATGTTTTTCAAATATATTGCATACGTTCCACCCAACCAACATGTTTTTAATAGAGAATCATGTTTTTTAATATTTACTTCAGTAAATTTAAAGATAATGTTTATGCTTGTATAAATTATTTAATTTTCTTATTCTATTAACAGCTTTCACTCGCGAAAGACGCAATTCTCTTATGCAAGGCTTCTATTATGTATTATTTATAAAATATCATATTATGTATATTTAAATTTAAATTTCTTTAGTATAATCAAATTTCAGTTTTATAGTAATGAATAAAAAATGAAGTGTTTATTAAAATAAATCAATTTAATTAATCTGTTTATTAATTTGACAAAAATCGACAATATTTATGAATAGATTGGCAAAATTATTTGAGAACACAAGCTGGAAACACAACAACGGTAAATGTAGTAATCTGTACGGTTGATTATTTACTTCGCCTTCAAGAATCTATCATGGACTTCTACTGGCATTATTCTAGTAAAGAATTGATAGACCCTGCGGGCAAAGCAAACTTCTTCAAAGCCATCGGTGTAGCTAGTCAAGTATTTAATACATTGACCGAGGTCATTCAAGGTCCATGCGCTCAGAATCAACAGGCTCTAGCTCATTCGAGACTGTGGGATGCAGTTGGTGGTTTCCTTTTCCTCTTTTCACATATGCAAGATAAATTATCCAAACACTCGAGTCAAGTGGATTTATTAAAGGAATTGTTAAATCTACAGAAAGACATGATAACTATGATGTTATCGATGCTTGAAGGTTTGTAGCAACTTTTATGATAAATACGTATTTTCCCATTTCTTATTCGCTTGGTAATTTGAGATGATACATATTTCAACGATTAATATTAATTTTGAAAAGGCAAAATAAAAAAGTTAATGAACATTTATAATAAGATGAAATAAGTATTTAAATATTTAAACATTGTTTATCCACAACTAAAAATCTGTAAATTATATATATATATATATATATATATATATATTTATTTATTTATTTATTTATTTATTATTGGAATAATAATTGATTATTTATTAAAATTATCTTATTAATATCATCAGCAGTTGAAATTTCGTATGCCAATAATAAACTACAAAGAGCATTTACAATATTTAAATGCTATATCTTTTAAAAACAAATTATTTTCAGGAAATGTTGTTAACGGTACAATTGGAAAACAAATGGTAGATACATTGGTTGAATCTGCTGGCAATGTTGAGCTAATTTTAAAGTACTTCGATATGTTTTTAAAACTTAAGAGTTTAGTCTCTTCTGCTTTTGCAGAAGCCGACGATGGCTGGGTTTATCCGAAAGATTTTAAAGAAAAAATGGAGCAAACAAAGAATTATAGCGTGTAAGTTGCAAACCAATGGTAAAGAATTTTATTTTTTGACATTATTAGCATTAATTAATATATTAATCATATTAACATTATTACGGAAGAAAAATTCTTACGAAGACTACAGAGCTAATATTACATGTACAATCAATTAGAATAAATAATTATTATTTACTAAAAAATTTAGTACAAATAATGTAATTATTAATAATTTGCCAAAGATTAAACATTAGATTAATAATAATTTAGGGGATAATTTATTAATATGTAAATTATTATTGTCATTTTTGTTATAGTTGTAATTGTAATTTTAGTAGTTGGTTTTGTCGTTGTTATTGCTGTTGTAAATTCTTATTGTTTATTATAAATAATTCTTTGCATATTATTTGAAGTGAAGAGATGGAGTTTTTACTGGCTTGTTGCGAAACAAATCATGATGGAAAAATCAACTATATTGCTTTCATGGAACGTTTTCATGAACCTGCAAAAGAGATTGGTTTTAATCTTGCGGTTTTACTTACGAATCTCTCTGAGCATATGCCGAATGAACCACGACTCGCTCGATTCCTTGAAACTGCTGGTTCCGTTCTTAATTATTTCGAACAATTCCTAGGTAGAATTGAAATTCTTGGAAGTAATAAACGCATTGAACGTGTCTACTTTGAGATCAAGGAATCAAATATCGAACAATGGGAGAAACCACAGGTGAAAAATTTTTGTTTTCAATCATAAATTCCATACAAGAATTATTTTATTACTTTATTCATGTATTGGCGTATAATTGTATTAACAGATTAAAGAATCTAAAAGAACATATTTCTACAACACTGTGGTTGATTCCGATGAAAAGGAAAAACTAGAGACCTTTATCAACTTTTGTGAAGATGCTATATTTGAAATGCAACATGCGAGTGCTTTGATGGCGGTTGAAGAAAGCGGAGGTGGCGGCAAAGCTAAAGAATCTTCTTATACTTACATGACCGACGAAGATGAGGAAAGAAGGGACCCGATAAGAAGAAAAATACAAGCTATAAAAGATGGTGTTTATTTTTTCTTTTCCATGTTCTCACCATCAAACATTAAGAACATGATCATCGATGTGCAACAAATGTCCATACCCGAGCTTCTCATAGGAATCATCAAGACAATATTCTACACGATTTATTATTTAGGTTACGGAATAGGCTGCACAATCAGTTACTTTATGAAATTATTACTTAGCCTTATGAGAGGACCAATTATCGAAGAACCGATTATAGAAATTAAAGAAGACGACATTAAAACATCAAGACATTTGCCAGCCTTACCACCAACAATAGACGAATCAAGTTTACAAGTAAATAATATCTTTTATTATGAAATCGCTTCATTTAAATAAAATAAATTAACAAATAAAGTTTTTCAAAAAAAATAGACAAACTATCTATGAATCTGTATAAAAATGTAAGCAAGAATATATAAAAATGCAAAAATTTTAAAACTTAATTAAATTTGAACTATTTTTTATGTATTAAGATTTTATAATAATGTATATGATGTACTTAAAACCTAATTTCATAGTTTAAAATAAAGTCATTTTTGTATTTTTTCTATCACTTTTTTTTTTAGTTACAATATTAATTATTTTATATTCAAAATTATATCAGCCAGTTAGCACTGATGTACATTTTTTATAAATAATTATATAAAATTATAAAATAGAGAAAAAAATTCTTTTAATATATTTTAATCAAATTGATATGATGAATCAAATAAAATTTAATTATTTTACATTTTTCAAAATTATAACATTGTTCCACTTAAAGTTTTATTTAATAAATGCTACAATATAATAAAGACTCAAACGATTTTATTTAGCAATGTTTGTCTTACAAATTTATAATTTTCATATGCCAATAGGTACAGACATTTGGAATGGATAGTTCGAAAGAAGATGGCCAAATAAAATCAAATCAACACGAACTTACTACAACAACTCCACAATCTAATTATGAAGAAGTTGGAGAAGTTATTTCTGATGAATGTGCTATCGAAGATAGTTCAAAAATCATGGATGGCGAATCCGAATTACCAGCTACGCTAGCTGATTTGTTAGGGTAAGCTTCGTACTTTATTACTACGAATAGATGGCAATAATAGAAAATAAATAATTTACACGCGAATATATTTAAATTATTTGTGCATTCTTCTATTCCACTGACCTACTACATATTTACCTCAGTGGGGAGCAAGCGAGGGCACAGGCTTTGGCGGCAGCAGAAGCAGTTGCAGTTCAACAAGCAGCCATGGCTGCCGTCGAGGCAGAGGCAAAGCAAGAAGCAATCGAGGAACCCTCCGCGGCTTCATCGATAAACTTTTCCGAATACAGCCATCGTCTTGTCTCGTTTCTCGCAAGAAATTTTTATACACTCAAATATGCTGCTTTAATCCTCGCATTCTGCATCAACTTTATGCTACTATTTTATCAGGTGAATTTTCGACTGTTACATTATATTCCAGATTTTTTATGAGTAATGAGGTAGTATTACTTAAGTGTAATAATGTACCTTTTTTACTAAATAAATGCACATACATCAATGTTACATCAGTGTACTAATAAAATAGTAATTATCTTTAAATTGGATTATTTCAATTAAAATATTCTTAAATTGATCCCGATATATACATTAAAATTATTAAAAATATTTTTCTGTGCGTACTATGGTATATAGTTTTCTATTACTTTTCTATAAAAGTATTAATTTTCTAATAAAACGTTAAAATAAATAGATATTAAGAAGGTTATTAAAATCTACTAATATATTCATATTCTCAAATTCATAATAATTATTATTTTCAAAATAATAATCTGTACTTCGGATTGCTGCAAAATTTATTTTATATTTGTTAAAAATTAATTTATATCGAATAATATAACGCAGATATTTCAAATAAATAAAAAAACAACATTTTCTTATGTGTTACATTAAAAAAAAATCTAATATTCATATAATTATAAAAGTCGTTTCGAATGAATTGCTAATAGGAATTCTACCCATTTTTGTAGATATTTAAAATCTCTTTGGTCAAATTATACACTTCATATTGTTTATTAATTCATCAATATCTTTAATCAAAAACATATGTAAATATACCATACATATTTAGAATGTATGTGTGTGTGTGTGTGTGTGTGTGTGTGCGCGCGAGCGTGTGTACAATAAAAGTTTTATTGAAAATATAATAAGAATATCGATACTAATTACATTCAATAGATATGTACTTCGACAAATAAAATTTACGGCGTATGGAATTATATGTGTTTATAAAGCAAAGATTTTATGCAAATCGATTTTAGGTAACCATTTTGAATGAAGGATCCGAAAATGACAGTAACGGAATAACAGAAGATATATTAAATGAAATATCTGGTGAAGGATTATCTGGATCTGGAAATGATGTTGGTACTGAATTTGGTAGCGGTGACGGAGAAGGCGGAAACGAAGAAGAAGAATTAATAGAATTTGTCGAAGTGCCTAAGGATTTTATTTTCATTGCTTATATAATGAGATTTATGGCAATCCTACACTCCATTATTTCTTTGGCCATGCTTGTAGCTTATTATCATTTAAAGGTAATGCTATTCGATAAATCATAAATTAAAAGACATTTATTACAATGATACTTCATATTATTTAAAATAAAGACCCTATCAATTATATTTAAAAATTGCATTTTATATTAGGTACCTCTTGCTATTTTTAAACGTGAAAAAGAAATAGCTCGAACCGTGGAGTTTGATGGTCTTTATATCGTTGAACAACCAGGAGATTATGATTTCAAAGCCAATTGGGATAAATTGGCAATATCAGCTAAAACGTTTCCTGTAAACTATTGGGATAAATTCATTAAGAAGAAAGTCAGACAAAAATATAGTGATACTTACGATTACGAAATGATAAGTGCATTAGTAGGAATGGAGAAAACAACATTTATTCAAGAAGAAGAAAGTTCTGGATTGATGCATTTGTAAATATGACACAATAAAGTATAAAATGTAAAACAAAGTTGTATTTATATTTATATATATCTTTAACTTTTTTATAGTATTATGAATATAGATTGGAGATACCAGTTGTGGAAAGCTGGAGTTACAATTACTGATAACGTGAGTATTAATGAATTTCATATAATGATTATTTATAATTAATTAATTATTTTCTCATTATAACAGTTAAAAATAAAAGTAGTCTTCGACATAAATAATAACCCTCTATTTCGATTTTATTATAAATATAAGTTAAAGTTTAAATTTTTTCAATTATATACATTAACCAATAATGTGGAGCGGAAAATAGTTAATGTATATTATTAAAGATATAAACAAATCATTGATAGGTATTCTAAGTATATTTATTGAAAAATACGTTCAAAATTAATTGTATTAAATCTTTATGTATTAACTATAAATACCCCTTCAATGGTATGAGGAAATTTTGAATATGACCGTGTTCAATGTGGTTTGAATAAATAAAAATTAATTTCTCTTTACTTCATGTTTAAATATAAAAATAGTTTTCGAAAGATTATTTTTCACATTAAATTTATATATAATAATATTTCTAAGTTTTTAATAAACACTATTAAGAAAGGAAACACTCTCACGATACAACACGAATTATTGTCGTAAATTTATTCAAATATTAAAATAAAAATATAAAATTTCTAACATAACTAATTTTAGAATATAAAATTTATATAATCAGACAAAATTACATGATCGTGTATATTAATAATTAACAAGTTTGTTATATACAAATTATCAAAGATCTACAATCTACAATCAATTGTTTCATCCAATTTTGACATATAATATCAAGCATCTATATTAACAAAAAAAAAAAAAAAAAGAATAAATCTGATACTTGAAAACTGCTTGAAATCCTTTTTTTTCAAATTAATAACATAATAAGTTTGTTAAAATTTAATATTTTATATGAACACAACAATATGTACTTCGAATATGCTTTTACTTAGGTATATTTTGAGTAAAATGATATATTTCATTACTAACAAAATATAAGCAAAGTTTTTATAATGCAAAAATATTTTATAAAAAAATTTACAGTGAAATATTAATAAAATAAATATCATGCCTCTAGGAATCATATATTATATGGTATAAATATACATTCTAATTTTCTGGATTTTATACAATTTCAGGCTTTCTTGTACAGTTTATGGTACTTTACGTTCTCAATTTTGGGAAATTATAACAATTTTTTTTTTGCGGCACACCTGCTAGATGTTGCGGTTGGTTTTAAAACATTACGCACCATATTACAATCAGTAACGCACAATGGAAAGCAGCTCGTTTTAACGGTTATGCTTTTAACTATTGTAGTGTACATATATACCGTTATTGCTTTTAATTTCTTCCGTAAATTCTATATCCAAGAAGAAGATGATGAAATTGATAAGAAATGTCATGATATGTTGACGGTAAGACATTAATTTTTACGACTAAGTAACGTTAAACGCATTATATTTAAATTTACTAAATTAACTTATTCAGTAATAAATGAGATAACATTAATAGTTTGTGATAAATCTTTAATGGCATTTCAATATTTGTTAATTTTTATGTAACTTCTTACTGTGAAGTTTATTCATCAATTTTTCTATCTAAATTATATTTATTATTGTGTATCAGAAAATATAGATTTAAAAGAAAAGTTGATTCTTATTTCCAGTGTTTCATATTTCACTTATACAAAGGTGTAAGGGCAGGCGGAGGTATTGGTGACGAAATAGGCGAACCTGATGGCGATGATTACGAAGTCTATCGAATTATGTTTGATATTACATTTTTCTTCTTTGTTATTGTTATACTTTTAGCTATTATTCAAGGTAAGATGGCAGGAAAATAAAAGAAAAGAAATTTAAAAGGAAATTTAAAAAATGAAACCAATTAAATTAAAAATTTTAGGTTTGATCATTGATGCTTTTGGAGAACTTCGTGATCAATTGGAAAGTGTAAAAACAAATATGGAAAGTAACTGCTTCATTTGCGGTCTAGGTAAAGATTATTTTGATGCGGTGCCACATGGATTTGATACACATGTGCAGCAAGAACATAATCTTGCGAATTATATGTAAGTACAGAAATAAAAATATCTCGATTGATTAATATGCAAATAATATTGCGCGAATTCGTTAAAGACGTTAAATTAAATATTGTTAGGTCAATTTATAGAAAATATTTAATAAATTAAATTTATGCTTAATTTTATGAAAAAAAAAATTGTATTCAATAATTATCCCTTGTATCCAATAATTGTTTAAACGAATCATGAATTACTTTATTTTTAGGTTTTTCTTAATGCATCTGATTAATAAACCAGATACAGAACACACGGGACAAGAAACTTACGTGTGGAAAATGTATCAACAAAGATGCTGGGACTTTTTCCCCGTCGGTGACTGTTTCCGTAAACAAAATGAAGCAGTAGAGGATGAGGCCAAGAAAAAATAACTTTCTACAGAAGTTCTTTTATACTAATTTGAGTAGTTAATTTACGCAACTTTTACTAAAAACTGAAAATGTGTGACTAATTATATTCCTTCTTTTTCAAAAAAAAAAAAAAAAAAAAAAAAAAAAAAAAAACACCAAATAACAAGATATTGATTAATAAATTAAAAATATTAAATTAAATTATATTAAATTCACTTTTATTTTTTATATTATAAAAGATTTTTATAATATAAAAAGATTTTTATATTATAAAATTATAGGAAAAATTTTAGCATATTCAATAAGTAGGGTTAAATGTTAATGTATATTATTTTAACTTCTGCTTTTTTATTTTCACGTTTTGAAGTCGAAAATATTTTTCCATCTTTATAAAGGTAGTGGTGTGTGTATGGTAATCGAAGAGGGAGTGGGTGCCCAATCATTAGTTTATTTAGCCAAGTATGTAAGAGATATAAGTTAGCTATACAAATGTGAGCACAAAAATCATCAAATAAAGAATGCCTATCAAATAATTTATTAAATTATCTTCAATTATTGCCAATTTTTTTCTGTTTTCTTACGTTAAGTAAAGTATATTTATAATTTTTGTTCTTTATTCTATTTACAATTAAATTATTTATATAATACATTGTCAACAAATCTATTCACTTAATTACTTACTGATCATTGAATTAATAATTAAATTTATTTATATAATCATATATTTTCTATTTCTATTATTTTACATATTATGATACGTATATTTTGTAATATTATTGATTTATCAGATCCATATAAATTTTATTTAATTCTTATAATAATTATTTAATGAAGTATTAGATTTAAACTTTGATAAATAATTAGCAATGTGTTTAATTAAAATTCCACAACCATATTGTTTATCAGAAACTGCAGTAAAGCTTATTAAGCGTCATCGATGAAAATACATTTTATTCACTAGCATTCGGAAAATTGCTATTAATAACCTTTTCAATGCTGAAAACGAAGTCAATCGGTTATATATGGCGAAATATACTCGACTATGACCTAGAAAAACACAAACAGTGAACTCTAATTTACAAGAAATGGAATCTACGTGCTGTCTTTAGATATATGGTTTTATTTTCATAGAGAATGCGTCGATAGTTTGTATGGATCTATCTTTAAAAGCATTTCATCACCTTTATTTGCCTTCCTTACAGAAGTACCATAGAACAAAGACAATTCCCAACTCTTGATCCAGATTTCTAATTGTAAAGCATCGATGTCGTCAACTAAAAGTAATTCTTTCTCTCTCCATCTTTTTTTGTCACTATTCCGTCAAACCCATTAGGATGTGCGAAACACGCAAAGTCAAGCATACATCCGTTGATATCTAAACTTTATATAGATCATTTGTACTCTCTGATAACTAAATTATACACTATATTAATAACGTTTGAATCATTTTTTAAAATATTTTCATAACTAAAATTCATGTTAATTTAAAGTTTTTAAAATAAATCCAATTTATTATTAACATAACATTTTGATACTATTATTACATTCATGCATCTAAAAGAATATTGACTTATAAAACTAAATTTTTATTTATTTTGTTTCATTTTAATGCTGAAATGCAAATGTAGTATAAGTTATCATAGATACTCGGCAAAGGGCAGGAAAAAATTATTTTTTATACTCTACATTTACATTTAGACTTATTTAATTTTATATAATAGTTACTTATTTAATTTTCATTACCGACTACTCGGTAATATAGGGTTTACAAATTTACTAGTAAATAAATTTGATCATTCATTGATTTTTCTAATAAATCATTTCATACTTTGTAATCAGCAGAGATTGTATAGAATAATGTATAATTATGATAATTATTGGAAAAAATTAACTTACCTTTTATTCCTTATGTACTTAAAATAATAACGATTGCAATTATTTGATACCATATAAGACCAATAACAACCTCTCAATCAATAATATTAAACTATGTATCTCTTATAAGAAGTTTCTTATCTTATTTTTTTATAATTATTTTTACATTAAATTTGCATGCCAATAATGTTCATTTGTTATAAACAATAAAAATGTAATTAAAATTTTTATTATTCCAATTATTACATTATTCTCGAATATTTTTTTGGCATATTTTCTTTCATTTTCATACATAGTATATTAATACGCATTGCAGACGTTTATTCTAACCACATGTAGAAGTTCGTAAGCTATGATAGTTCTTTTAACTAATAAAGTAAATATTTTCCTTATAATTCAAATATTCGTATACGTATTTTTTTAATGTAATCATAAACTTATCAAAATTACTATTTAAAAAAATTAATTTTTGTTTACTTTCTAAATATTTTTTTATACATGCTTTTCTAATTTATGTCTCATATTAAAAAGGAGTCATTTCGATTATAAATAAGAACTCGAGTTGAATAAATAAAGATTTATTCAACGAATTCAAGGTAACTAACAGTCATGCGAAGATCAAAATCAAGGAAAGTAATGCTAAACACCATAATTATTTTTACGCTATTATACATTTTTCTTTATCCTATATATATATATATATATATTATTTACTATCTTCATATATCTTAAATTTATACAGATGCTGTATTAAAGATGGTGGCACACATAATATGTAAACAACAATGAATATTTTTCTACAAATCATAATAATTAAAAACTCTTACCTTATAATCATATAATGATCATTTACAATCTCCAAAAATATATAAAATTATGTCAGTTATTATTTACAGTAGCATGTAGTGTTATAACAATTTTTATATAATAATTCTTTTTAATACAATTATCTTTAAAAAATCGATAACTTTTTCATGATTTAAAAAAATGTAGCCGAATTTTTAATTTATAGAGATTAAAGTTTGCGACAACATTTTTAAACAATTTTAATAGTTATCGTTTAAGAAGTTATATTTAAATATTTTCGATCCTACGATACATTTTTAAAACTTGAAAAAAGTATACAATTGATATAATTAATATTAGAACAGTACGATAGCAAAACAAAATTAAGTCAATCTAAAAATTAAGTTTATACTAATGTTTCTAAAAAACGAATATAATGATTATCTCTGATAATATTGTATAATTTATATTTAATAATAATGTTTTGAGATAACGTATACCGTCTTGGATAATATAAGAAAATTTAAAAGAAAAAGTTTGGAATCGAATGTTGTACTAAGGAATAACATAAGTTGCATCTTGATCTTTAATTTTCTTTATTGATCAATATCAATGATTACTATTATTTGTTAACAAATAACTACAATTTAATTAATTTACATTATTACCTATCTAAATAATAATAATTTATATTTTATAATATTTGTAATATTTTTCATCAAGCCTAAAAATATTTTATACACTTGATAATCAAATATTACCTACAAATACGAACACTATGATTGTATATAAAAAAATACATAAAAATATAATTTCAAAATATTTTAAAGTATTAAAAGATAAACAAAAATAGAAATATAATAATTAATTAATATAAATCAGATGTCTAAATATTAGTAGTTTTTTTAATATATATATGAATATTATTAAATTTAACCAATACGAAAATTCTATGAATTATATTTTAAAAATTACGAATTATATAATGAATTATGATATGGAATTACATTTAAGAAAATATTTTATTGAATTTCAGAAATCATTGATTGAATGAAAAAATTTATTAAACAACAAAAATTATTAAATTTTAATTTTCAACTGTTGTTATATAATCATATATAATACGTATTTAATTATTTACTAGTTTTTAAATAATAAAATTTACTATTTAATATCTTTATTTAAGAATTAAAAAGACAGTTCTTCATTATTCTTATTGATTTGAGTATAATTGTTAGAATTGTTATTAGAACCCAACTTTCTGAATTTCTATAATTTTATACAACGTTTTTGATTCTATATCCAATCTTTTAGAGAAACCCACCAATTACTGTTTTCTGAAAAATACATTTAATTTAGTCAAACAAGATTACTATTATTTATTAATTGACATTACGTACTTACTTCGTTCAAAATCTTTTTCGCATGCTTCGTAGCAATAAGCTGCACACACAATTCCAGGTATGACTAAATATGAAAAATATTCAAATAAATATTTACGAATGAAGTCGGCTAATGAGAAATTTAATGACGTAATATATGAAAATACAAGATTTTTAATCAATCTTAATTATACAATTAATAATACAATGATAACAAGTTAAAATGTATATACTAAAGTATTTAATTTATAGTATATAAACTAAATTCAAATTTATACAAATACTTTATTTTTGTTCCCAAAATTAAAAAATATTTACATTACTTAAAAATAATGTATTAATAATAATATAAACACTCCGTTATAGGTTACTTTTAATTTATTAAATTATTAATTTATTTTAAATATATTATTTCTTCTGATTATACGAAATTTGTAGCATAATGGAAAAAATTTTTTATTTTCATATTGTATGAACCAAGAAAAAACAAGATTATCTCATTAATTTATTTTCTATGCTATGTAAAACGCTATACGCTGAAATATTATTACTTTTTATTTAGAATTTTATCTAGAATTTTCTTTCGTATCTGATTTTAATCTTCCAGTTCCTTAATTATATTATTACCATTTCAAAAATAATTAAGGAAATACATTTATATAAAAAAGATTCTTTGATAGTTCATTGCATTTCAATATACAGATATATCAGATATTTCAGTATATTACACAATATAAAAATATGAAAATGATTTGTTTAGTAATATAATATATAGAATACTAACAAATCATTAAATAGAAAATAAATATATTAATTTGTTCAAAAATTTAAGAATGCAATATATATATAATATATTAATTATTTAAATATAACTCACTGTCACAAGATTTTTTACATTGTTTTTCCGATTTAAAATTTTGTGGAGCTATAAATTGCAATACAATAGATTATTAATTTTAAACATATATCCTGAGAAAAAATAAGCTTATTAAATAGTAATATATAAAGAGAATTAAATTATTAAAATAAATATATTATTATGCATATGAATTGCGTAGAATA